AAGTCCATGCAGCCCCCGTCCGCACCGAGCCCCCCGCTCTTCACCAGCTCCCGCAGCAACCACACCAGCTGGGCAGAAAAGGGAGAGATCAGCGCAGCTCTCGCCACAGCCTCCCCCGCGACACCTCTCCCCCCGCACCGTGGCTGCCTCCGCCGGCAAACACCGCCACGTTTCCCTTCCAAAGGCGAGTCCTTGACACGGAGCAAAGGAGCTCCACCGGTGCCGACGGCCCCTCATGCCCTCCACACTCAAATGCCCTCTGCTCATCCTCTGCCTCGTCGGTGTGAAAGGAGCCATTCGGGGGGGAAGAACCTCCTCCTCACCTGGGTCCGACAGGTGTCCTGAAGCTTCAAGTACTTCTCCATGAGAATATGGTTGATCTTGTTAAGAACGATGTTCATGCCATCTCGGCTCACCAGTGCCAAGTCCCGGTAGCACTGCAGCAGAGAAGAAGAGTGGGAGATGGTTACAGATGAAGGACCGTCACGGAAAACATACGATGGTTTTATCAAACCTGACCAGATAACAGCAAATAAACGCGTCCCAGGGAAAGAACACCAAGACAGGCAGACTCCCGCGGGGTGACCTGAATTGACATCCCAGGGCCAGGCAGGGAGAGCCATTAATCCACTGGGGTGTTATAAACCGACAGCGGGATTCACTGGATTTAGCCCCGGGAGCCAAAGGTGTCTCACTCCACAACAGAGGTTGCCGGGTGTCCCTGTCCCCTCGTCCCAGCCTTCCCTGCACCCTGCCACAGCTCTGGAGACACCAACACTAGAGAGAAAAGACAGACAACGGTCCTTCAGGAAGGATCAGTTAATAAACAGTCACATCCAGATCGCTTAAGCCCCCACTGCTCCAGACTTCCTGGCACTGGTGACAACTGGAACTGCACTGGAGATGCCCGCAGGGGTGATGCTGGTTCAATACGGCTGCATGGGAGCACCACGGAGATGCAGGAGCGGAGGCAGATCGTCCCCATGCCACCAGCTCCTGCTCGCGCAAGACTTCCGAGGTCAGACAGAGCTGAATTTGGAGACAGTCTGGCTCAAAACCATGCTACCACGCTGGCTTTTTTTCGGGTTAGAAATCCAGACATCCTGCCCGTGGTCCAAACTGGCAGATTTGGTGGGGCCACGCTATGGATCGTAGGGAGAGGAAGGACTTGCTCCACTCTTGTCGGTCACCAGCCGCCAGACAAAAAGCTGGCCAGAGAGCAAAGGTGCCGACTCTCCCTTCCCCTCTGGGCAGGACAGCAGGGGGTGGAGGATGATTAGGAAGTAATTTGCTAAGTGGTTCTGCATGAATGTTAATTTGTGCCAGTAAATGTCATGATATTCCAGAGAGCAGGGGTCTGGTCTCTGCATCCTCCTTTAGAGAGTTAATGAGGCCTCAGAAGATCTCTTTGATTAGACTCCCTGTGCTTTCTCCCTCCCTTTTTCATATAGCACTGTGTAAAATGTATATATATATATATATTTAAAAAATCACAACTAACTAACTAAATAAATAAACAACAGCATCCAAAAGGGATAGACTGTTCGGGGCCTTTAATTGCTTTTGAAATGCTAAATGAATACCCACAAAGCAGAGCCAGACTCAAAGTCTCCACACAGACAAACGACTACCTGCCCAGGAATGCACAACATCTCCCTCCGCTGCATCAGCCTTGAAAAAGAAAACGCATACATCACACCAACTGGAAAAACTGCAGGGGATAGAACCGGTCCAGGCCACAGCTGGCCGGGAATCACGCAGGATGCCAGTTCCCCTGTGGTCTGCCCAAACTCAGATTCAGCTTCGACTTTGTTTGGAAAACACCGGTGTTGTCAGGTCCCTACCCTGCCTGGATCCTACCTCCTCTGCTTGGCGACGGGATTACGACCCCCCATCGCCCCCAGCACTTCCCTCTCGCAGGCGAGTGTACTTCTGCACCCTTAGGAGCAGCGATGAGATGAATATTTTTCATCTTAGTAGCTTCTCCTGGTGGTCAGTAGCTTCTGCAGTCAAAGAATTCAGGCTTTTCTGGGTGAAACGTCTAGGCTTTGGTTTTCTGCCGGATGTGTGTGAGGTGCAGTGTCCACATCTGCATTTAAAGCCACCGAGAGGTGCTGTGATACGGTGCTGAGCGTGCGGATTAGTCCCTGACAGGCTGGGCTGATTCTGGCAGCATCCTCAGGAGAAGGGCTGGAACAAAGAGCTAGAAGAGACTCTAAGGGATTTACTTCTGGTTCAGTATTTAAGTCCCAGGAGGAAGGACACCATAATCCTACGACCTGGGGAAGTTTGGCAGCTCTTCCCCTTGCTTACTGCATACTTCCTCAAATCTCATAAGCCAACACCGCAGAAAACCAGAACTCAAACCGCACCTCCGATGTTGCTGATCCTTGGCCCAAGGTACAACCGGCCAGAGGAGAACAAGTCCCATTTTACCACGGTCACGGCAATATGGCACATCACCGACCGGGTGCTTAGACGGGTCAGACTGGACCCCTGCCTAACAGCCTGCGGCACAATAATCCAAAGGAAGGTGCTTGGAGAAAATCTCCAGGGTTCCAGCAGCCAGGGGGTGGGGAGAGAACCTGAATTTCTTGATTATTGCCAAGGTTGCAAACAATCCATCGTCTCCTCCCCGCTCTCGCCAGATTGGAGGCGCCACTCGCACCGGCCGTTTAATTAACAGGAAGGAACAAATGATAAATGTTCCCTTTAAATGAGGGGAGAAGAAAAATAAAAGACAACAGCCATCGAGCGGAGGAGACAGACCCTCTCCCGCCCAGCACCGGGGCAGAAGAGGCACAGGGCGGACAGACGCAGGAGGAGATGTCAGGGAAGCGCCGTGTTCATCCGTGGGGAGGGCTCCGTGCACTCTGATCCCGGAGAGGAGTGTTAATTAAAGTGAGAGGTGCCAGGCGGAGGAGGGAGATGTGACGGATCAGTTGCTGTCACTTTGATATTTGATGGCGGTCAAGTGTCCCTCCTCACAGCTGGACAAGTTTAGCACAGCTAATCTCGCCCGGCTGGAGTGTCAAGGCAACAAAAGGGGAGGAGGAGACCTGTGTGCTTCAGCCGATCCTCCGCCGCGGCGAGGGGAGGGCTGTGGCACCATTCCTTTAATCCATCAGCGAGGGGACAGGGCAGCTGAAGCCCCTTCCCCCCTGAAAAAGGGAGAGATGTGTTTTAAACAGCCTCTCCAGGGGGGATTAACAGGAAGGAACAAATGATAAATGTTCCCTTTAAATGAGGGGAGAAGAAAAATAAAAGACAACAGCCATCGAGCGGAGGAGACAGACCCTCTCCCGCCCAGCACCGGGGCAGAAGAGGCACAGGGCGGACAGACGCAGGAGGAGATGTCAGGGAAGCGCCGTGTTCATCCGTGGGGAGGGCTCCGTGCACTCTGATCCCGGAGAGGAGTGTTAATTAAAGTGAGAGGTGCCAGGCGGAGGAGGGAGATGTGACGGATCAGTTGCTGTCACTTTGATATTTGATGGCGGTCAAGTGTCCCTCCTCACAGCTGGACAAGTTTAGCACAGCTAATCTCGCCCGGCTGGAGTGTCAAGGCAACAAAAGGGGAGGAGGAGACCTGTGTGCTTCAGCCGATCCTCCGCCGCGGCGAGGGGAGGGCTGCGCCACCATTCCTTTAATCCATCAGCGAGGGGACAGGGCAGCTGAAGCCCCTTCCCCCCTGAAAAAGGGAGAGATGTGTTTTAAACAGCCTCTCCAGGGGGGAAGAGGGGAACTGCCGCCTCCCCTCCGTGCGGCAGCAGACGCAGGCGGGGGACGGCGAGGCCACGGCACGAGACGAGCCGGATCCGCATGCGGGGGACAGACATCCACTGAAGAAATACAAGATGACCAAACAGATGGCGTGAGATGCCTCTGCTAGCGTGCTGGGACTGGAGCCTGCTGGGCTTCTAGGGCAACAAGCACTAAAATACCCTTGAATGCAAACATCGCCAGCTCCAATATCCCTTTTTTCGGGGGGGCAAAACAACAGGTCCCATGGGGATGGTGAAGCCTCGTGGGGTTTGCTTGATTCAGTACCACTTCCACACCAATCTCGCGGCGTTCGATGCTCACTTGCTGACACGCGAGATTGTGAATCTTCACCCGTGACGGAAATAGCTATTGCAGACGAGCAGGGCTGTGCGGAGCATCCCCAGACCCGTGGGCTTCTCGCTGGAGGCTGACGAGAGCCCTGTCCTCTGTGTGACGATATCAGAGCTCTCTCAAGATCTCTCACAAGATGCCTTATCAGTCAGGCAAATGGTAACACTTCTTCACAGGCCGGGAACAAAGAGAAGGAGTAACTACTCCCCCCAAGAGCCTGGTAGAAAATCACTGCCTGGTTTCCTGTCCTTGCTGTCTAGATGCGGGGCAGGTGGCAGCAAGAGATGACATCAGAGTCCAGCAGACTGGCAGATCCAATTACTCCCTAAGAAAAGTAACGTGCTCCAAAGAGCAGATCTGACAAGAGCAGGAGGACCAGCCACCTCTAATTAATGCGGCCATGAGCGGCAAAACATGCCCCCAGCCTGCCAGCTCGGAGAGACGGCGTCAGTGCCTGCCAGCAGCTCGGTCACAAAGGAGCCACTCCTCTTTGCCGGAGGAGACCGCCGGAGGGGAACGTGCCAGGCAGGTTTATCCCAGCTCGTCTCAGTGGGACGGTCAGCGAGTGCCGTGCGGATGGAACGCTCGAGCATGCCGGACTCACTCAACCTTTGCTTCCAGCATATGGAAGCACCTGCGCCCCACGAGTCTTACGCTCAGTTAACCACGTCTGGATACTCCCCGCCGCATCCCAGCTGCAGTCCACCACATCCTAGAGGGGAGAAGAGGACTTCATTTGATGTGGAGGAGGTTGACCCTTTGGAAGACCATCCTGAGAGCGCTGCTAGTCAGCAACTAGAAACACTCTTTGGCTCCCACAGTGTCTGGGAAACAAGGATGTGTTCAGCAGTGGTCCGAGCTTCGGCTGGGTTCAGCTTCTCCAGGTTTACAAGTCTTGCGCTCAGCGCAGGAGGCAGCATCGGGCCAGGACAGCAGGGCTGGGGACTCTGGGGTCAGGGTTTAGGAAGGCCTTAAGCCAACAAGGAGACAGAGGAAAACACAGCCGTCTAACCCAGCAGAAATCTGACTCGCTCCAGCACCTAAAGACTCCCAGGAGAAACGTGCTTTGCTTTCAAGAGGTGATTTCTGGGGAACGGAGCTGTACCTTCATTGACAAGGACCGTCCCATCTAGCAACGTCGAGGCAGCTATGAGTTGCAGGAGCTAATGCGGATCTGTTGCTTTGGTGGAGAGAGCCCATAGCTCACAGCAGTAATTAAATCAAGAGAGAAGACTGCATGAGTCACCTTGGGTCCAGCACAGCACCAGGATTTACAAAGCATCCCTAACGGCACGCCACTCAGGCGTGCTCGCGGCAGACCCTTCCCGACTTCAAGAGTCCACTTCAACCCTTCAAAATTCCACGCGACACCTGTTAACTGAAATGCATCCAAACAAGGACCCCCGGGTACCGCTCGCCACGCACGGCCCTTCCAACAGGGCTTTTGTTTTCCCCCATAGCTGCTACAAATAGGTCTGGTTTCTATAACAAAACATCATTTTCATCTCCTTCCCAAGCACCCCCAGTTTGTAGCAACGGTGCCAAATCCACATCCAAGATCTTTAGACTACAAAACATTCATCTTCCTGTAGGTGAGTAACAACAATTTTAAAATCATGGTTTACAGCGTCGTTAAAGAGAGTTGTTTAAAAATTAAATCCGGCCTGTGAAATTAATAGAGGCGGACTGCTAAAAAGCAATTTTCTCCAGCGATTGAACACGTTCCTCCTCTAGAGTCTAGGTGATTATTTCTGTTGCTATCTACATCTGGCTTCCAGCACGCAAATCCGTTCTGGGCCTCTGAAGACAAGGCAGAAACTGGGAAAGGCCTTACAGTTTCTTGAAGAATCAGTATTCGCCTCCCACGGCGAAAAACAATTAATTTTAGGGCTGTGAAAGAATCCAGCCGAGCTCCCTTCCCCGGTGGCAGTATCTGCATTCCCCTGAGCAGCAGCTGCTGCAGCCCCCGTGCCACGTGGACACAACAAACCCAGGAACGGTCCAAGCAAAGTCATTGCCCTGCTACAATAAACACTGCTCAGCGCCGAGGGATCCAACCAGGCGCCTTCCGACGCCTGCACCAGACCCAAAACATCCACAGCTCCGAATCCCCGGCTGCCTGGAAAGCAAAAGAAAAATCTCTCGTGGACAAACTTTCCGCACTCAACCGACGGGCACGGTCGTGCCTTACCTTCTGTGCCTGAGCAGGTTCGGTCAAGACCAGAGTGAAAAGACCCAGGCAGATCTCTTCGTGCTGGGGGGTTCCTTTACATATCTGAGGGAGAAAAACGCAAGCGCCGTCAGTGAGCAGGTGAGATGGGACGTTAGGGAAAGGTCAGTAAAGCAACAGAAGAAGGAAAACCCCTCTGAAGCCCACCAAATGGGTGGTCAATAGAGCACCCAGCAGCCTGCCAGGAATTCAAAGCAGGATCACAAGGGAATACAGAAAACATCCAGAGTCTCTCTGACATTTGTACCCCGTTGCAAAGTTAATACCGGTGCAAACATTTCAGTAGCGAGAGCTTTCCAGTGGTTTTAACTGGACCACCTCACGGTACGTCATTACCGAGGGGCAACAAACCCCCAGACAAGAAGAGCAGCAGATCCCCGAGACTTGTCCTGCGGCCGGGGACCTGCCCGGGCTCTTCTTACAGGCTTTCCTACAACCTGTTCACCAAGCAGGGAAGCATGTCACAAGCTTTAGAACCCTGAAATCCAGCCTGGGTTGCCGACCTTTTCCCATTAAGGGAAGGCAACTCTGCACCACTGCCTCTAACAGCCCAAGGTGTTCTGGGGAGGAAAAAATGCAACCAACATGTCTGAGAGCCCATTAACATGTCACACGACCAGTTCTCCTTATACGGTAACATCTGCAGCTTGCTGGCAAGTATTTTAAGACTATGCAGAGTTAGAAATAAATGCTCCATCCCTCAACAGAAAGGCTGAACCTGCCCTTTCCAGTGGTCTGGAGTCCGGCTGTTTGGAGGTCAGGAAAAAGCTGATGCGAGCAGCGCAGGGGTACAAAAATACAGGAGAAACGCAAACGCCGCCGGCAGCACACGCCCAGCGACAGACTGTACGTGCACAGGTACGGAGCACTCATACGCTGCTAAAGACACAGACAGATTTCAGCAAGCCATTGCACTGCAGGTTGGCTTCCAAATAGGTGATTAAGGCAAGGATTAAAGCCGCAGTGTTGTTTTGTCTTTTAACTGTAACAGCTCTGGGATTCCTCGACAGGCTGAGAGCAGCGGGAGCACAGCAGGCTCCATTCCCCAGCCTCTGCGGATCTGCCTGTTCTTTGAGCCTCGCAGGCCCGCTCCCTCAGACAGAGGTGTGTGCAGGGACAATATACCGCGAATTCTTTCACCCAGGCAGGATTTCTCAGCTCTCGAGGAGACGCTACTTACATGAGCGTTGAGGGCGTCGTTAGCTTCCCTCTCCGACAGCCCGTTGGTTAATGAAGTCACGATGCCCACGCATCTTTCTAGTCTCTGAAAGAGAGAAAAGCCATCACAAACTCGGAAGGACAAGTACACTCCAGCACATCCTCCCCGACAAAAGATACAGCCGAGGCTGCTTTGACCCCTACCCAAGCACCTGAACAGACAGAAAACCAGCCAGCAACGCAACAGCCGTTCTTGGCTCACGTCAAGACTCTGAACCTCCTGCCAGCTGGAGAAGCCAACACTTCATCAACGTTCATTTATTCGCAGGTTTGGGTTTTAAATACTCTGCTCACACCACTCGAAGAGCCAAAAAGTAAATGCGCGATTATTCAGCGATACTAATACTGATGTCACTTCGACACGAGGCCAAGACGCAGCCGTGCAAAGGCTGAATTTGAGGCGTGGTTGTCAATCCTCGCTCTGAGAGCGGAGCTGCACCCCGAGATGACAAGCTGTGCCCGGCCCCCAGCGCAGGGAAGCCGGAGCCCGGCATCCAGCAGCTCTGCAGTATGAGACCCACTGCTCCCATCCGTGCGGGAACCCCGAGCTGCTGGGCAGCAGTCTCAAAACCTTCTGTTCTCATCACTTAACATCTGAGCAACAGCAGGAGCAGATGTTTGCACGCATGCACCCCAAGGAATGAAGCGACGGGAAGAACCACGAAGTCAGGACTGGTGAGTTACAAGAGCGCAGGCATGAAAATACCAGAGAAGCAAACGGCAAAGGCTTCCACTCCACTTGAGAGAATTCAGAGTTGCCCTCTCTTCATGTAGGACGTTAGCAGCCCCACGTAGAAATGGTTTCTTCTATCCGGCAGACTGGGAACTGGTGTCAGCCGATCCCTGCCTCGGGTACAGGGAAAGCGTGAGCAGAGCGGCGTGACTCCGGGCACACCACATCCTCACCTCGCGGTGCCATCTCGGGGACGGTGACAGAAGGGCTGCATGGACTCGCAGGCTCACCACGTGCTCTTGCAGCAGCGATGACACCCGAGAGCCCGCAGACAGGTGAAGAGGAGGGTTCTCGGCTGTCAGAGCAACAGCGGCTCGACCGCAGGGCTCCTTTAACGCCGGGGTCTCGCTCTCACGCTACGACTTGCACGGCGAGACTTTGTTCTAAATTAAACTTCTCCACAAACAGCTCTGTTGCTGCGCGAGGGAGGTGTGCCCTGCCTTCTTCGCTGGTGCCACCACTTCCACGCCAGAGCTGCGGCCACGGCTACTGTTTCGGCCACGGCAGCGGCTCGAGGGTCCCCGGCTGCCAGCACAACGAGGTCTTGCTTTCCTGGAGTTTCCCTGGAGCCTACAGTTAACGGAGCGGTGACCTGTTTGCCCCAGGGAAAAGCGGCAAACGCAGCCTAAGACAGGCAATAAGCAGGTTACAAGAAGGTTATTTCTACAAAGTCACTTTTTGATTAAAATGCAAACACATCCCACCGATTATGGAACTGATTAGCGACTCCTTTGCATATCAAAGGGGCTGCAGCGAAGAAGCTATTGAGAAAGAGGTCAACAGTTCTCCACTCCAAGGCAATATGAAAGAAGATGTACTGGTCAGTAATGCAGAGATAATGCCTTTGTGAAACCGGCTTTGTTCCAAGCCGAGCGATGGCATTATGAAAGAGCAATGGGGCAAAACCCATGAAAATCTCAAATCTAAAGCAGATGAATTATTTGAAAGGGAAGACAAGATCCAGCAGCTGAAAAACGGAGTTTGAAAAATCCCAGTGAGAAATAAGACAACTTGTTGGCAGATAATGCAGCCAATGAACCACCAGAAGAGCTTTGCAAGGAAGTTCAGTGTCAAATAATGTCTTTGATCCGAGACCCGCTGATGGACTTGCAGGATCGGGGTTGGGTACTCTCTTCTTGGGATAAACCGGAGATGCATCAACTCGCTACTGCCAGGTACGGAGGTTATTTGAAAACAGTAGTTCTACCTTTGAGCAAGTTTGTAGTTCACATTCCTGTAAAAAGCTCTGCCGCCTCTACCAAAAACCACAGTGGATCGAGACGATGATTTCTTCGTGTTACCACCTGGCATGAGATAGATTTTTATGTGCTCCGGTCCTTCCAATCACATCTTTCTCCCCAAACCAGATGTGTTCAGCTTACTGCCACCAGCAGCTCTGACCACTGCTAGAGGGAAAGACCGGAGGAGGTTTTTCCCTAAACATGGCAACCTGTTTACTGCGAACACTCGATGCGTAACGATCAGGCACGGTTTTTCCTCTGTACGCTCCGTTTCCTGTTTGTTGGAGTCTTTAACGCAAGAAACACGAAACTTGTGACAGTAAATCCATCAGCGCTCAGGAGTATAATTAATTATCTGAACCAGTTTCTCCCAACCGACTGCGTTTTTAGTCAAAAGCGCTGCTTTCCAGTGGTTTATGAGAGGCATGGGAGGAAGGTTTGCCGGATAAAAATGGCTCTGAGAAGTCTTCTTCTGGTGCTTGTTTGCTCAGATGCATCAACTTCACCAAAAGCGAGTTCCATCACACTCACTGACCCGTGGTGGCTCTTTCCCAGACCCGATGCTCTCAGTGAAAGCTGTGGGTAAGAGTGACCTGGACCCCAGGAGACCCGTTTTGGTAGCCCAGAGCTGATTTTCAAGCCCATCCAAAGCTCCTGGCCATGCTGGGCTCGCAGATTTGCATAGGTCCGGAGCTGGGAACGTTCTGTCCAGACCTGGACAAGACCCAAAACACACACGGGGACCGACAAGTGCTTTGAAGAAATATAAATACATTCCAAATGGCAAAGGACAGTTTCCAGACCTTGAGACCTAGTTATTCCAGTTACCACCCTGTTTTTCTCCTGCAAGTGAAATCCAACATGATTTTTTTTTTTTTGTCTGTACCACTTCACGAGCCCCAAATACATCTGTTTCCATCACACAATAAATAACCAGTCTCTCCCACAAGTCTAGCAGTTCACGAGAGCATGGCCGCCCCCGTGGCACCGGGGCAGCCAGTCCTACACCAGCTTTAGGAAGATCCCTGAACACTTGCCGAGTTCACCCTGTGAACCAGCCGTAAATCAGCGTTAGAGAAGGGCCTGAGCAATGCGGCCGCCTCGCCCGGGGCCCTGCACTACCAGCTCTTCCACAGCTCCTCCACACCAGAAACAGCTCCCAGTTGTCCTGGGAAGACCCCAAACCTTCCCTACCTGTAAAAGAACCAGCTCTCTTTGCCCCGTGCAGGAAGAAAAGCTCAATGGGAACTAGGAGAGAGCTGTGCAATTTGGGCCCTGGTGAACACAGGTCAGAAAGTTCCCTGGAGAGTGGAAAGATGAGTCCTGTCGGTGCTCAGACACCAGGGAGAAGCTTCATAATCCCACTCCGCAACCTGCAGCCATGCTGGCCAAGCACGGCCGGGGCGAGTTGGGCAGGGAGACCGCAGCTGGGAGGTGGTTTCTGCTCAGAGCGAGCCCCCTCCCCACACAGGGACGGGCAAGGGGAGCAGCGTGTGGCACCCTGAGCCCCTAACCCCCCCCTTGGAGCCCCCCTGCCCCAGGCACCTACCTCCTCCAACTCATCCTTGGCATCCAGAAGAGTGGAGACCAGCAACTTCCCTCCTCCTGCTGTTCCCC